CTAAACTTCAGAAGGGTGGGTATCCTACTAACTGACCCTGGTTAGATGACACCTTCCATCTTGCTTCCTAATTAAGGCAGATGCCAAAAATGTCTTAAATTCGGAGCCTTGAAGTTAGCATTTATCTTATCAAAACTTGGTTAATATAATGAAAATTCAACTGAAATAAATCAGTAGAGAAGGAGATGGCATGTGGTTTCTGTGGTGTCTCAGTTTTCTCATCTGTAAAATGGAACCAACTACAGAACCAGCTTCACAGTCCTGTTATGAGGCTTACATGCCCTATAGAATGCTAGACACTGCTTCTGGAAGGCAGTCAGTGTTCAATATACATTAGCTATAATTATAAAAGAGAGTCACAACAATCACAATAGAAAACGTTTATTTTACCCTCTTATAGGACATGTGGCCTGAGATAAATTCAAAATTTAAAAGGTGGATTGACTATGTCAATAAGTCACTATCATGTAGATCATAGGAGTGTTTTCTGTGCATCACAACTAAACTAAACAGAGTTCCTGCAAAATGAACAGGTGCATGCTTGAAACGAAACCAAAGAGGCAGCCCTAAACAGTCAATCTCTTCTCCTTTCTGGAGATGGACTCAGAGATGCTCTGACCTTCTGACTCTCGTCCCATATCCTAATCCACTGCTCATGTTCAGACATGATCTTTTCCTACTTGTTTTTATATTCGGGAATTATGCTAAGGGAAGCTGCTTCCCTTTTCTTTTCTGAGAAATGCCACAACATAGAAACTTGGTTTAAATTGGTTTAACCCATCATTTCCCAAACTTATGTAAACGTAAATTTTTTTTAAGCACTATTAATATCCTGCGAACAACAGACTGGTTCCAAATAGGAAAAGAAGAAAATTGATGCTTTTGAACTGTGGTGTTGGAGAAGACTCTTGAGAGTCCCTTGGACTGCAAGGAGATCCAACCAGTCCATCCTAAAGGAGATCAGTCCTAGGTGCTCATTGGAAGGACTGATGCTGAAGCTGAAACTCCAAAACTTTGGCCACTTCATGCGAAGAGTTGACTCATTTGAAAAGACCCTGATGCTGGGAGGGATTGGGGGCAGGAGGAGAAGGGGACGACGGAGGATTAGATGGCTGGATGGCATCACCGACTCAATGGGCATGAGTTTGAGTAAACTCTGAGAGTTGGTGATGAACAGGGAGGCCTGGCGTGCTGAGATTCATTGGGTCGCAAAGAGTCGGACACAACTGAGCAACTGAACTGAACTGAATTTCCTGCAAACACATTCCTAGGTAACACTCTCCTAAAGAATGTCAAGGAAAGTCAGGACCCTCTTGGAAACCATCTAAAACTGATTTTATGAGAAGATGTTTTATCACCTATAAATGATCCTGTGAATTGAATTTAGAAAATAATCTTTTAGTTGACTGGGTTAACTCCCAAGAACATTGGAAAACGCCACTCCTAAGCTTCACCCAAGATGTAGTCAATCCTTCCAGATACTTAGAGTTCTAAAAGCAGAGTAGAGCAAGCTAAACTATAAATCAATAGAAACTGTAAGTCAATAATAATGATGAGCTAAATTTATAACTGTACAAATATATAACTGCACGTGAAAGAAAGAAAGGAAGAACAAATGAGAGAAAAATCAAAATTTCCAGAAATGAAGAGGGAACTGAAAGCAATGTCTGTGAGTACTGGAACTGAAACTATATCTGGCCTGGTGACATAAAGAGAGAAAAGGGTTTTAGAGGAGGGAGATTCTAATTATTTAGTGATTGTGCCCCCCAGAGCTTGGGAACCAGGTTTTTGGCCCACCCAAGGTGGGAGCACCAAAGAATTGATGCTTTTGAACTGTGGTGTTGGAGAAGACTCTTGAGAGTCCCTGCGACTGCAAGGAGATCCAACCAGTCCATCCTAAAGGAATCAATCTTGAATATTCATAGGAAGGACTGATGCTGAAAATGAAACTCCAAAACTTTGGCCACCTGATGCAAAGAACTGACTCATTTGAAAAGACCCTGATACTGGGAAAGATTGAAGGCAGGAGGAGAAGGGGATGACAGAGGATGAGATGGTTGGATGGCCTCACCAACTCAATGGACATGAATTTGAGTAAAGTCTGGGAGTTGGTGATGGACAAGGAGGNCTGTAGTATGGAGATGGTCATACTATTTTCATTTTAATAAGTAAACATGGTAAGTTAATTGCTTTCTGAGTGTAAGATCATCCTTATGTTCCTTGGGTAAACCTAGTTTTGTCATTTAAAAATACTGCTGGATTCATTTTGTTACCATTTTGTTAATGATCACTGCATGTATGTTCATAAGACTGTTATCCTGTAATTTTCCTTATTACACCATCCTTGCTCACTTTTAGTTTTAAAGTTTTCTTGGTTTGATTAAATGAGTTGAGAATTATTTTTCCATAATTGAGGGGTTCATGTGAAATTATAACTTATTCCTTGTTTTTTTTTTTCAAAGAAATGTTGATAAAACTATCACTGGTACACATGACAAAGAGTTTCTCTATGATATTTTCCTAGAGGAGCCATTGAGGTTTAATTGTAATGATCATATTTCTAATTTGCAGAATTAGAAATATGTTCTTTTTTCAGTATGACTGATCCATTTTCTCATATTTTTGACTGACATATTTTTTATAACACACTCATTTTATGGTATTTTATTTTTATTTTATTGTCTGAAGTTCTTAGAAATACAATCCTGCTATTTCTCATGTCAGTTGACTCTCATATTAGATTGCTTCTGTGTGGTTTTGGAAAGCAGAAACAAAGGAAAAACAGTCAAGAAGTAATGATACAGGTATAAAGCAGAGTCTTAGTTCCTTCTGAAGGGAAATAAAAAACACTGTGATATATATCTTTCAGTTGTTCTACAGGAACTAAGGCTGGCATCAGGTGGAGGATGGTAACTTCAGACTGAGCACAAGCACTAGACTCCACACTGGTTGGAACCATAAAGGTTGATAATTGACATTTTTGGAAAACCACCCTGTTAACCCACCATCAACCAGAAGGAGGTCACACACTCTGCAGCCCTCATCCCAAATCTGCTTTTCAAAACTCTTCCCTGAAAACCACCGGGTAATTTGGGTCTTTTGAGCATGAGCCACCTGTACTTCCTGCTTGGCCCTTGCACTAAACCTTTTCCTGCTCCAAACTCTGATGTTTTGGTTTGTTTGGCCTCACTGTGTGTTGGTCATGTGAACTTGTGTTTGATGATTGTGTGAGATTGTGTGATGGGGAACACATGTAAATCCATGGCTGATTCATGTCAATGTGTGGCAAAAACCACTACAATACTGTAAAGTAATTAGCCTCCAACTAATGAAAATAAGTGGGGGGGAAAAAAACACCAAAAACTAAGCTTCTTGTTTAAGTATATTAGCCATAATCTTTTTCCCTTTGGCCTCTAGGATACTCCTTACTTTTTTCCAAGCTCAGCCATACCTTTTATTTTTTTTTTATTTTTTTTTAAATTTTTCCATTTATTTTTATTAGTTGGAGGCTAATTACTTTACATCATTGCAGTGTTTTTTGTCATACATTGAAATGAATTAGCCATGGATTTACATGTATTCCCCATCCTGGTCCCCCCTCCCACCTCCGTCTCCACCCAAAGGTGAACATCTTTTTGTATATTTATTGTCTACCCAGGTTTCTTCTTCCATGCATTGCTCATTCATAATCTTTGCCACTGTGTGCCGTTTTAAGAGATCAAGGTTTGGGTGATTTAAAATGGCATACTTTCTGACACGCTATCCAGAATCAAAAAGAAAAAGGCAACCCAATAGGAAAATTGGCAAAGATTATGAATGAGCAATGCATGGAAGAAGAAACCCGGGTAGACAATAAATATACAAAAAGATGTTCGCCTTCATTTATATATGCCAGAAATCTGATGTATACAAATGAAAACAACAATGAAAGAATATTTACACTCATCCTTTGTCAAGTGTTTAAAGAACATTCAATATTAGATGTTGAGAGAAATAGCCTATAATAATGGCTAAGAGGGCAGGCTCAGGAGCCAGACTACTAGGCCTTTAATTCCAACTCTATTCATAAATCATATGGCCTTGGGAAAATAATCTAAACTCTGCCTCAATCTCCTCACTGCAAAATGAGATTTTTTACCTAGGATTATGAGAATTGAGTGAGTTAGCACATGTAACACGCTTAGAATAGTGCCCACGAGAGGAAGCAGTGAGTATTTATGATGACAGTAATGAAGACAACAACGGTGGAAAACCAGATGTCTTGGGCAGTTCTATTACATTGTTATAACCAAGATTTAGAGAACCATTTGTCAGTTCTCTTGTTAACTTGCAGATGTCAATACTAGTCAACTGATCTGCTCCACTTCTAGGTACATAACATGGAAAAATGCCAGTACATAAACACTAGAAGACATCTGGCTTAGATGTTGGACTAGTGTTTATTTTTGCTATATTTTCTGAATCACTCTGAGAACTCCCAGATGGAGTCCAGTTTTTGCTTTATTAATGTGTTTATCAATTTAATGGTTTATAAACGCCTATTGCCAGGATGCACAGCAGTGAAAATGCTAAAGTAGAATGAGATCTCTACTTAGTTACTCTCAAACTGAATGGTTGGTTATCAAGTCTTCTCAAAATCCTTTTCCACATATTGCAAAGCCCTAAGACAATTTAGAGATACCAGGAGGTCAAGGACAGATAAACCACCATGGACTGGCAGTTGGAATGTCCAACCCTTAAACCTATACTCTACTTCAAAGGGCATAAGGTGACAGGACAGAGTCATGGCTCCCAATTTAGTTCTGATTCCATCAGTAACTGGCAGTACAGTCACTTAGCTCCTCTGAGTCTCAGTTTCCTTTCAGAAAGAAAAAGAAAGAAAGAAGGAAGGAAAGGAAGAGAGAAAGAACAAGAGAGAAATAAAGAAAAGAAATTGGAAAAAAAAAACATCAAACAATCTCTCAGTGCCTTGGGGCATAGCAGAAGAGAACTGGACTTACAGTCTTGAATTGGGTGTCCTTGGACAGGAAGCAAAATCTTAATGAACCAGTATCTGTAAATTGGGACTAGATCTATCTCTTTTCATGGATGTTGTGAGACTCAAATTTCACAAGTTTTGTTAAAACACATACAGACTCTAAGCTCAGTGGCAAGATTTGCCGTTCTACTTCTGAAAGAATCCTTGAATCTCTGTGAGCCAGTAATTCTATAGAGTGTAGCTTGGATACCAGAAATATCAACAAAAAAATCAACAAAACTGGAGATGATTTAATATGACCCTAGAACTCCCATTATAAAATTTACATAGCCAATGTTTCATTGTTCACATAATAAATCCTGGTATTAGTCATTGGTCTTTGAAGACAAGCTATTAAAGCAATAGAATTCTTAATTAATTTAGTGCAGAGTTTATCAGTTCTGTGTACACAGCTTACTCAGAGCCCACTATATCACTCGAGTGTGGGGTTGGATAAAGTCAGCTCCCATGGAATAAACCTTATCTGGTGCTCTGCAGTTTCCAGAAGCAATTCTTTCTAAGTTAGAGATTTGTTATCTGCTGGCTCCTTCCTAATGCATTTCCTGGAATGGGTCGTGAGTAGTTGAGTCAAAAGCTTCTGTAGAATTAGCTCAGTTCAGATAGAAGAGGGTCACTCTGGTACCAGAAGATTCACAAATATCTCTGAGCATAAGTCAAAATTAAATCTCAAATGTTCAAAAAGAGACAGTAAATGTTACCATTAGCAGAGCAATTTTAAGCTATCTCTATGTTTAAAAAATTATCAAGCCAATGGCATTATATTAATATATGCTTTGTAAATGCAATAATTATTTAAATAATTATTATTCCCATATAATTGCTGTTAACTGTGCATGCTTTCTTTCAGTTTCAATCCATATGCAAATCTAACTTACGTAGTAGGCTTGGAATACAAAATACACAAAAACTTTTACACATCCTCATCACATACCATTTTACAGAGCAAAGTGACATTTTATTATACTTTATTATTATGAAGGAATTGAGGTAAGGAAGACCCTCAATCTGTTGTAAACACAATTTGCTGAATTGTGTGAAAACGACTGTGTCCTGTCCTTTATTCCTTTCTCCTCTGCCTTTTTAACCCTCTGCAGCAGAAAGTTCTTTCTAGAAAAGTCAAGCTAGGATGCTTAGGGAAAGAGTGTTTCTCATGGCTGGGTTTGCCAGGACTAATCTAAAGGCATGGTATGATTCATTCATTCAGACAGCTGCCCCACAATACCACCCTCCAACCCTCATCCACCCTCTCCCTGGCCCCCAAGCTCCTCAGATGACCTCAGCTTCCTCTTTACCAAAAACTGGAAGACAGCAAGGGTAATTACCTCCTTTTCAAGGGCTTGTCCCTCCACCTTTAACTGATCTTAATCACCCTTCCTTCCCTTCTCTTCCTCCAGAAGACATATCATTTTAGCCGATAACCTTTTCTTCGGGACCCTTGATTCTACCTCTCCCATCTCATTTGGGCCTTTTCCCAGCAATTACTGTCTCCTACCTTGTGTCTCCATTCTATGCCTGATGTACTACTGGTTCCTTATCTTCAGCTTCCCAGCACAATTGCGGAGTTGGTGATGGACAGGGAAGCCTGGCATGCGGCAGTCCATGGGAATCATAAAGAGTTGGACATGATTGAGTGATTGAACTGAACTGAGCTGAAATATGAAAAAATGTGGAGTACCTTATGTATATGTTTTAGATGTGTTATTGTGTGTATGTTTGTATTTGTGTGTGTGTATATATTCATACCCTCAACTTATCTTCTTCTCTTATTGCTTACACATTTTTCAACAAGATCCAAATCCTTTCCAATGTTGACCTCCCTTTCATAGCATTCTATCAAGGGGATTTTCTAAAGAACCATCTGAAACATGACTCTTGCCAAGTCCCAAGGTCCATTTTCAGTCATCATTTGCCTGGGACCCGATTCCTCTGGGATATTTTCTAACTCATGTTGCAAAGCCATTGCCTTCCCATTATTCATCAATTCCTGCTCTTGAAAAGTTTTTCTTTGGTCTCCAAGGCCCAAAACACTCTATCCTGTCCTCTTAGTGAAACAAGAGGGAAAGGGTAGGGCACAACCTTTACAAGAATGATGTAACCCAAGGATATGACATAAACTGATTAGAACCAAATAGGTCCAAGATTGAGAATGAGTCAACTTCCACTAAACCTTGAGCCTCAAATGCACACTCTCATTGTAACACATCAGCAAGCTAGATGGCATGCCAACCAGCACCATGACCATTCCAAGGTCAACCATAAAGATCAAGAAGTGAGCAGTGACCCAATTCCTGGAAATCCCCACCCCTCCCCCAAAATAGATGGAACAACTCTTCCCACTTATGAACCTATGAAGTTACCCACCCCTACAAAAAATAACAACTCCATACACTGGTGCTTCCCTCTCCTTCTGAGATGGCCCACACTTTGTAGAGCATGTTTCTCTCTAAATAAATCCACTTCTTATCTATCCCTTTGTCTCTCACTGAATTCTTTCTGCCATGGGACATCAAGAACCTGAGCTTCATTAAGTCCTGAGACCAGGTGTGTGATCTAATGTTCATGTCCCAATCTGAGTTACATGGTTTCACTATCTGTCTGATCACTGCTCTTCACTTTCTTTGGCTCATTTATCTTCTTGTTTTCATTTTCAAAGTGTTCAAGGGCCTCATATGGCTTCCTCTCTTCTCTTTTTCCCTCAGATGTGATACACAAGTTTTTTACTTCAGCTAGGGCTTCCCAGGTGGCTCAGTGGTAAAAGAATCTGCCTGCCAATGCAAGAGATGCGGGTTTGACCCCTGGGTGAGGAAGAAGCCCTAGAGAAGATAATGACACTCACTATAGTATTCTTGACTGGGAAATTCAATGGACAGAGGAGGCTGGTGAGCTATATAGTCCACGGGGTTACAAAAGAGCCAGGCATGACTTATCAACTAAACAACAATATTGCCTCCCTACATATAGGTCTCACATTTACTTCTAGAGTATTGAACTCTCCCTCAAGGTCAAGGGCAGATCTCCAGCATTCACTAGCACTCCAGGCTCTATCAATTCCAAACTTCATTTTATCCTCTCCATTACCAGCTTCTGTTCCTAATGTCCACCCTACTTTTGATAAAGGCATCCTTGCCTCCACTTCACCCAAGTGCAAAACCTGATAAAACCTCTTATTCCTCATTTTCAGTCCTTCTGTGCAATTAAAATACAGGGCCGGTGCACTGGGATGACCCTGAGGGTTGGGATGGGGATGGAGGTGGCAGGGGGATTCAGGATGAGGGACACATGTACACCCATGGCTGATTCATGTCACTGTATGGCAGAACCACCACAATATTGCAAAGTAATTAGCCTCCAATTAAAAAAAATTAATTACTTTTAAAACATTTTAAAAAAGAACTATGTCACTATCTGCTGGATGGTCAGATTACACCCTAGGCTGGAATATAACAGGAATGCTCCTCAAGAGAAAGAAAAGAAAGAAATAATAATACAATATGTTAGATGTTCTACTTTCTTAAAATTATCAGAGCAATGTAAATTAATATAAACTTAACAAAAACAACCTATCCTCACAGAATGTTTGTGTCTGATGATGATTAATAGAGATGTACATGAAAAGAAAAAATATATATCAAATTTTGATTCTACCTAAACATTATGCATCCTCTTTTTGACACTTTTGACATTTACCTGTTTCCATCTCTAGTTGTTTTTTTTTTTCTTGTTTAATCACATTTCAAATAACTCTCAAACTAATCTTTGGTATACAAACTAATCTTTGGCATATGAATCATATCTCTTTACTAAAACTGTCCCACAGCACTCCCATTGTTGATAGGATCAAATCAAATCTCCTGAATCCTGCAAAGACCTTCCAACTATATTTCTCCATCTATTACCCATCACTTGCTTCACAACCATCAAGATGTTTCTTATGGACCACCTTGCTTTCCCCCCATTTCCATGATTTTAAAATAGTCCTTATATTGGAATTTTCACTCTATCTTCACATGGATAATCCTCTGTGTCTTTAAAGCTCAGCTCAAATAATCCCTTTTCCCTTCAAAACTTCTGGTATATTCTTCCCAGCTGGTTGTAATCCCTTTTCCTTTGCATTCCATGTTACTTTCCTGCTGCCATTATTACATAACTTGGCCCAGCTACATTTTATATTATCAGTTCAGTTCAGTCGCTCAGTCATGTCCGAATCTTTGGGACCCCATGAGGTGCAGCACGCCAGGCCTCCCCGTCCAAACCCATGTCCATTGAGTCAGTGATGCCATCCAACCATCTCATCCTCTGTCATCCCCTTCTTCTCCTGCCCTTAATCTTTCTCGGCATCAGGGTCTTTTCCAATGAGTCAGCTCTTCACATCAGGTGGTCAAAGTATTGGAGTATCAGCTTCAGCATCAGTCCTTCCATTGAACACCCAGGACTTATCTCCTTTAAGATGGACTGGATGGATCTCCTTGCTGTCCAAGGGACTCTCAAGCATCTTCTCCAACACCACCGTTCAAAAGCATCAATTCTTCGGTGCTCAGCTTTCTTTATAGCCNACTCTCTTGCTTTTTTGATGATCCAGTGGATGTTGGCAATTTGATCTCTGGTTCCTCTGCCTTTTCTAAAACTCTCCATCTTGGGTGGCCCCACATGGCATGGCGTAGATTTTATACTATACTCACAACTGTATCTCTTTTCTTCCCCTCCTGGCTTAGAGATCATTTTGTATTTACTTTTACAGGCACCCTCACAGTGCTCCAACACAGTGCCCTGAACTTAGTAGGTGCTTAATAAATGTCAATGCATCATATGTCCATGTATGTAATGCCTGAGAGTCAGGCTTTGAACTCAAAGCCAAAGTCATGGAATGCTGGTTAAATTAACTTTAGCTCTCTAAGCTTCATCCTACATATTGGGGGCAGAGGATGGGGTGGGAGGGGCGGAATAACAGCTGTGCTACCTCAGAGCATAAAATGAGAACCAAGTAGGAAAAATGTATTTTAAACCCTTAACATAGTGTTTGGCACTTTTAGCATTGTTCTATTAATATTCATCATGAGAGGGTAGAAATAGGTACTTGTTTATGTGAGTGAAATAGTACCATTTTCTCTGGGCAACTAAGCAATAGATATTAACAGCTTGAAAGAACATG